GGGCATCAGCCAAGCAGGAGAAAGGGCTGCCGCCAGCTCCCCCCAAGCATCTCACCACATGATGGCCACCCAGCATAGCAAAAAGGAAGGCTGCTTGGTAATACATGTGCATGTCAGCCGGGGGTTTGGGTGTACCCCAAAAAAGGCGCGCCACCCATACGGAGCCCCCCCGGGGTCGAGGACTTCGCGTTCCGAGTTCGGAGACGAGGCGCCCCGTCGTGGTCGCTGTACACCGTGAAGGACACCTTCTCCCCGGGTCTGAGCTGCGAGCCCTGGCGAGCTGGGCGCGTTGGAGCTCTGTGGCTCCAAAGGATCCAGTTGGACACCTCGTACAGGATTCCCAAAAACGAATCCCAAACACATCAGGTCGAAAAAGAATCCAAAAAAAAATAAAGTAAAATAAAATAAAAAGTCGGGTCGAGAAGTAAGTCTAAGTCTTGAAAGTTGCGGGTTTTGTGAGGTTCGGTATTTTTTGGTTTCCTGAAAGGTTGCGCACCAGATACTTGTGTAAGTAGAAGTGCCCAGGTCAAGCCGATGGGTGTTTAAAGAAAAAAAGCGGGGTCCCCACTGAAGGAATCTACCCAAGATGTGCCCTGCTATTGATTTACTGGCTCATGGCACCCACTTCTTTTACCAAGCATTTCCAAATGTGCTCTAAGTCCCGACGGTGTTCAAACTCATCATCAAGGGAGACCAAAACTCGGTCCAATTCGGTATGTGTTGTCTGAACTCTCCGCCCGGTGATCGTTCACTGGCAGCATAGGACTTGGACTGGGAACCCAGTTGATTCATAAAACACATATTGTCCTTTTAGACCACCAATGCAAAGGTTCCCGTAGGAACCATAGCTTCCTCCATGCTGTGACGGTTTCAAGCTGCTTCACTTGACAGCTTTCTTGGTGACCTGCATTTGGCAAAGCCCAATTACGGCACACAATGCCTGAATTTCAACTGCCACTAGGTCTTGCATCGCCGGAGGATGGCGAAATGCCAACCTTGAAGATGATCTGTACAGCAAAATCAGACGAAGCAATTTGCGCTATTGCCGTTCCGTCGCCAGAAAGGAAAGGCTTCGTCTTCCACACCGTGTCAAACGTGCATGGTTCCATACTTGTTGGTGGCGCAAGTCATTTTTGCACAATTTTAGACCTCCAAAAAATTATTTGGGATTCCCTGTACAAGCAGCCGAGAGGCTTCAGCCCCCCCCAGCCCAAAAAAGCAAAAACTGTTCTTTCCGTGATTCCGCTCAGTGTTTGCTTCCCATAAAACCACTTGAACTCATGTCTCGCGGATAGGGCCGGCACCAAATGTGCACGCCCAACCCGATATGAGTGTTGTGCTGTTTTTTGTTTTTGGCGTCCCTGATGTGGTTGGCCTCCTGTTGATGTCCCTTTGAATACCCACCACAAATTGGCTCCCCATGTTCAGAAACTGCCATATGTTTATACACATGAAACAAATCCGTCCTAGGTCCATTTGCCTACACTCATCGTTTCTGGAAACCCTGCTCCATTTCTAAACCAAAGCGTTCAGTGTCCAAAACAAGCATAAAACCAGTTCAATTTCGGCCTGGCAGATCTATATACACTCTCCTGAAAAGAAGGAGGTTCCATGTCAGACCGAACAGGTCTTCCCCTACGCGGTACTAGAAACTTTTTGCCCAAACATATTCGTGCTTGGAATGCACTCCTTTCCCCCCCAATGCGGCGCAAAGACGGCCTTGAAACCCACCTGTTCCCCCCCCCCACTGCAACATGGGCCGAAATCCACCTCTAAAACCATCCCCTTCCCGGCCAGTTTTCTGGGCGCCTGGATGTCTTGCGCACTGATGAAGACCCGGCCCTGGTGTTTCTCCATCTCCGGGTGGTCGATGTGGCCATCCTGAGATCGGAAGCGACCCCAAAACCCGAGGACCGTTTAGAGCTTCCGATCCGGCGGCTTGGCGCCTTCCAATTTTGGTCTGGGAAGCCCCAAACGGTCAGCGCTGGTTACGGGGGACTTGCAACCATGGTGTGGTTCAAAGACTTCCCCCACAGGCCCCAGAGAAACCCCAAAGTATGACTGTTAGGCCTTCTTTAGGGCCTATGTACGCCTTATTTGCTTTGAATTTTGGCTTCTCCTTACGGGTATGCTCCAGGGGTCTGGTGGTACAACCTTTGAGTGCTACAACTAGGGTTGCTAGCCACTTAGGTAACTCCCAGACCATCTAAGTAAGGTTTGTCTTTGCGGCGAACTCCTGCGGATTCCCCTTGGAAGGGTCCTAGGAGTGCTCTTTCAGCGTGCAACAATTGATGGACTTCTTTCCTTGATTCGGCATCCAACATCTAGTCTAGACTACCACTCAAATGGATATGTGTCAACATACGGGGAACCCCCCCCCCCCAAAAGAAAAAACAAAGAAAGGTGGGTGTCTTTCAGATTTCCCGTCCAAAGCCTAAAAAAGGGGCTACCTTCCAAAAAAAACAACAACAACAACAACAAATGGGTCTTTCCAAAGTGACACCAAGGACCCAGAAGCCGATGTCTGGATTTGATTGAGTCCAACCCCAAGAAGCTCTGTACATGTGGAGCTCACCAAAAAGGCCCCGATTTTTTTTAGACACACACACACACACACGCGCGCACAAGTGGCCCTTGACGGGCAAAAATGAAGCTGACCGCTGACGGTCGTTCATAACACGGCAGTGGCCCAGGGAAACACGAAAGAGAAGAGAAAGAGAAAGAGAGAGAGAGAGAGAGAGAGAGAGAGAAAGAGAGAGAGAGAGAGAGAAGCGTCCAACCCACAAAGGCAAGACACATGCGGCCGAGTCAAAACCCCAAGTCGGGAGGTATGCTTGGCAGCACCCCCAACCACAATTCATTAAAATATGTCTAGAACAAACAGTTTGTGAAACAAACAATGATGCGCGCATGGCCCAGTGCAAGTCCGCAAATCAAGCAAGATAAGATGCTCGGCTTCAGGTAGTGCCTGCTTTCGGTTGCTTGCAATTCTTCCGATCTTCCAAAACCTTTAATAGTTCACCAAGTAGCGGTCTTCATCATGGGTTGTCGCTCATCTATACTCCCGAATCTTGACCACGTCTGGGGTACACGAAAAAGAATGTCTTGAGATTCTGGTTCAAAAAAGGGGTTTGTCTCAAACTAGTCCAACATGGGTGGTGCTCCGTTGGCTATAACCAAAAAAGACACCTCCATACTTCGGACAGAGAACCCAATGGATCGACGGGTTGCCTGATAGCCGTTGACAAGCCGCAAAATCCCGTCTTTCTGGAAGTATTTGTTTGAGGAAGTACCTGTTTTGGGGCGGCGTCCTTGTTTTTGGAGAAACCGTAAAACCGCCATTGTTTTTTTTTTTGGGGGGGGGTCCCAAAATATTTTGCCACATACCGAAATGGGCCTTGAATCGAGAACTCACCCGCAGGACACCTCAGCCAAGGGTCATGCGGGACACATGGCTGGTCGAAAGTAGGGCAACCCCAACATGGCAAGAGCTTGTCCTGGACAATGGAAAAAAACGACTTCACCTGCGATGCTCATAGCCAGGGAAACTTCTATGTTTGCCTCCTTTGCCGGGACGCTCTTGAACATAGAGGGAAGAAACAGGCATATGGCGTCCTGAAAAAAATCGGGAACCTCCGTTGGCGGCACGCAAAGAGTTCGAAGGGTGTGGCACTTTAGGACAGCCCGAAACGTTTCGGGTCATTTTCTCGGCGAGGCACCGGGATGACCCAGCCGTAGCTGCCCTTCCAGGCCTGTTCGATGGGCACCGGGGATACGGGGGTCGATGGGGGGGGCCTTGCGGATGGATCTTGTGGTTGCGGATTGGTCCCTTTTATTGGGGGCCGATTCCCCAATCCAAATAAAAGACCGGCTGATAGAGTCCATTCAAAGGGTAATAGGTTTTTTTTTTTGTGGGGACCATTTCCAGGTCCCCCTTGGGGGGGCCGATCCCTGACAAGCATGGGAATGGACGAAATCCACTTCGCACGGGTCCCACGGCTTCAGTCGAATTTGGCTTCATCCATCCCAACTGATGCGTTTTGTGGATCCTGTCCATCCCCTGCTTGCTGCTGCTTTAAGGGAAACCAAAAGGAACCCGCTCGTTTTAGGTGTTCACGTATTAGAAGGGTTGCACGGAAAAAGCAGGTACCACAACATATCATATCAATATCGAATCCGTGCGATAGACCTGGGCCTCATTCAACACTCGACTCTCTTAGACCCAGACCCCAACAAGACTCGTGGCATCAATTGCCTTCAGGCACATCTTCCACCTCCCATGCCGCTCAAATCGGCGCCTTCACCTTTCTGCCAAAGCTCCAAAGCTGTGGAGTTGGACAACGGCGGCTCTGGAACCAACAGGTGAAAGGGCACCCTTTTCCTCAAGAAGGTCTTTTGCGCGAGAGAGAATTCGGGAAAAGCCGCCAGCCCCTTTTGGCCGAGAAAGTGTCTTCCTGAGACCCGAAATGGACTTTGGTTTCCATTTGGTTTCCCAAAAAAAGAAGCCCCAAAAAAGGGTTCCCGCAAACAAAGAGACGCCTTCCAGACACTGAAGTGAGAACAGCTGGCCGCTTTGTCCCACTACGGCCCGGCCGGCGTGGGCGCGCGAAAAAGATCGGCGAGTCGCACGCACGCTATTTTGCTGTTTACCCCAGCGAGTGGAACTCCAAGCAGCTCAAAAAGGCTTGGAGGGCCAATGGGAGATACACTTCAGATTAACAAACCCAAAAGACAGCAGGTTAGTCTGTTGCGGACTAGTTCCTCGGCTTTCTCATGGCAAGTCTCACCAAAGCCCAACCAGCTCGTAATACAAGGGCCAAAATAATTTTGATTCTACTACTTCCCCTACTGCGGATGGACGAAAACCATTTCGCACCACCTAAGAAACCCTGGAATGGTTTTCGATTCCCCAACGTAAATACCACCCAACGTTCTGATTTCATTTCCCATGGTTTCCTTTCGTGGTGCGATTCCTTCCAGGATTTCGCCATCCACAGGCCCTAGCTCAACCTGGCCCGCTTGGCAGGCGCTTGCATCGAGGTCTCGACCAGCAGCTCGCTTGCACCGGGCTCACTGAGCGAGCGACTCGGCGAGCAACACCCTGCTTCCAGCAAGCAGCGTGCGACTCGGCGGTGCCCATTCTTCACCGCCAGGCGCAAGGGCGTGCACCAGTCCTTGGTGGCTACCCCCTGCGCTGAACTAACTTTTCAGGTCGCGAAAATTGGAATGGATTTTCTTTGCTGGTACTTACCCTGGTGTGCTCGAGTGTGGTTGGCTCGCTTGAAATATTGCGGGCATCCAGTGGTCGACTTTGGTCTTGCTGGGATGTGTGGGTGGTGAGGGACACGGTCACCGAAGTGAAATGTGCTCGTCAACCAAATGACCTGCAAAAAGTAAGCTTGAAATGGGGGGCTCAAAATAGGAGTGCCGCAAAATGATATCGTTTCGGCGTCTGGGTTCCCTCCACAAAACCACACAAACCCAAGCGTTCAAGAGTCATCATCCACCTGGGTGGCGTCGGCCTTCGCTTCCAGCAAGCAACGCACCACTTTCCAATGCCCACCTCCAACAGCACAGTGTAGAGGCGAACGCCGCTCACCGTCGACCTGTCTGAGCACGGAGAGGGGCGACGGGCACAAAACTGGACTCTCGCCTTAAGAAACAAAGGAACCCACTCACCCACCTTGTCCTTGTCAGCGCCAGCTTCCAGCAAGCTACACACAACTTCTACGTGGCCATCCGTGGCAGCAACGTGCAGCGGGGTACACCAGTCAGTGTCCAGCTTCTCCGCATCTGCATTAGCTTTCAGCAAGCACCGTGCAACTTTCCTAGCTTGCAACCAGAGGACCGGAACATGGGTCCCATTCTATACTAGACTTAAACCCAGGGCGCTTCCATTTCGGGGGGAATCAACCACTTGCGGATTTAAGTCTATCTTGCAGCAAAAATGGCGGCTTCTTCTGAGTCCCTAACCCCAAGCCTCTTTTGGCTTCGGAAGAATACTTTCATTTCGGCAGTGACCTGGCAACCAGGTCAAACCCCTTTGGTAGTGAACGGGAAACCGCTTTTATTTTTGGGGTTGATGACATCGTGGGAAACCTGCCACCGCTGAAACCAAAGGCCAAAGGCCATGGAATCCCAAACCGGGTCCCGACCGGGACCCAGCTCCCAACCGAACACCTTTCTGGCCGGTGCGAGAGGTAGGGAAGGACAAGTCCGGGCTTTGGGGAATGAACCCGTGGGATTCCCCGAAAGGAAACCATAGGATGATGGCTTTTCTACGGGTCATTCCATGTCTCATTCGCTGGGGTTCCCAGCAAGCTTTACGGGGAAAGGAAGAGACCTCGTTTCAGGTTGCGCTTTGGGTAGTGGATCATTGATTCGCTGTTTGGCAGGGAATGAATCCCAGACTTAACACATAGAGTCTGGGTCTGAGAATAATGTGGATAGAGAAAATCCTGCACCACTTGCAATAAATAAAATTTTATGCATGCCAGGATAGGCCACCTACCAACTGGTGCAGGATTGTCCGTCCACCGTATCTGCAAACCAGCTCGGGAAAAAATAGATCCCTCTCGAAAGGAGTCTGCGGGAGTGTATTTCTCCGCGTTGTTTTGTGGGGGGGGGGGGGGTTGTGTAAATTGCAGTCTTTCCTCTTGTTTGTTTGGAATATGCGCAGTTGCAGTCTTTTCTGCTGCTCTGATGCATTTTCGGATCGGATTTCTAAAGACGTAAACAAACCTCAAGGACTTCGACAAGAAACTGAACAAAACTACATATGTAACTAAAACGCCAATCTTTAGACAGTCTTTCCACAAACTCAGGGGGAAAACAAGGAAACCAAAAAAACATTCCTCGGACCTGTTTTCAAGAGGTAACCACTCGCTGCGCCAAGAGTTCTGGGAGATAGTTCTTTTTTGTTGCCGGGTGTCGCTTGTTTAGTTTTCTCGAAGGTTTGGTTTGTGTATTTGGGTCAGTCCTATTTGAACCCTATTCAAATCCCTCTTTTGTTGTTTGTTTGGAGCCGCCGTTGATAGATGCGAATTCAGTACGACAACCGCCAGAAAACAGTGTGTTTTACAATGTTGTCTGACCATGGTAGTGCTTTGGGCTATGCAAAAACACGGCTTTTGGACCTCTGAAATATCTTATCAACTTCTACTCGCTCCCATACTTGCACCCCCCCCCTTCTCCCCGCGTCTATCTTTCCGGCATTCTACAATACCTTCAACACCTGAACTAAATGATTCCAAGCAAAGAACCTACATTGTGGTGAGCTCATGTTACGCTGCAGTGAGCTCGCCTTGAAATAGTCACGGGCAGCGCCAAGACAAGTGAGCGTCTGATTGCCCGCATCCGCCGCGAAATGCAAAGGCGTCCACATGTCCTGACTGGCGTGGTTCACGTCAGCGCCAGCTTCCAGCAAGCAACGTGCAACCTGGGCGACTGATATTGCCCCTTGCGCAAGAGCTGTGTGTGTGTGTGTGAGTTGTCCCCCACTTGTGGTTGCTTTGAGAGGAAATTGTCTTCCAGCACCCCAGTCAGTGTCCATGTCAGCGGGAGGGCAGTTGCTGGGAAAACACTTGAGACCAAGTCAATGCCGCTCAAAGCTTTGCGCGGAACCACGCTCCAGTTGCCCAGTTTGGTCCCAGAAATACAAAGTGATCACAGCCACTACAATGTCCGCCCAAAAGGGGAAACCAAAAGCTCAAAAAGGTCGACTCGTTGTTTTTTCCCCCCGCAAGTGAGCACACTTCAAAAAAAAGGCTGCCGGTCCAAGCAACTTCCTCACAGGAGTTCATGGCAGCGAAGAGTAAGGGCGTCAGCCCATCTTCCTGTCAGCTTCCGGTGGTTTGGATCTGCCCACAAATCCAAACCACCAACTTCCGGTTCAACTTCCGGTTCAACTTCCGGTCCAACTTCCGGTTCAACTCTGGTGGTTTGGATCTGTCAACTTCCGGTTCAACTCCAAATCCAGTCCAAACCACCAATCCAAACCACCAAGGAAGGGAACCGCCACTAGAGCCATGGCCTGCAGCCAAACGTCGAAAATCCGGGAGATTAGAGAGTAAGCTTTTTCCAAAGTGGGGCACCCCCCTAAAAATAAAAAGGTGTCTGGAGCGGGTTTTGTCTATCTACAGGTACATTGAGCCCCATTATTTTTTCCACCGGGCTCCTGAGGCTTGTTCTTGTCGGCGCCCGCTTCAAGCAAGCACCTTACCAGGTTCTCACCCCCGTTCTCGGCCGCGAAATGCAGCGCCGTGCCGCCGCTCCGGGTGGCCGCCTCAACATCAGCACGCGCCTCCAACAAGCCTGGGCTGCATGGTGGGGAGAATGGAGAAAAAGCGAAAGGGTCCACTTGAACCAGTTCAAAGGGAAAAGTGGGCAAACCAGTTGAACGGCAAAAAAGGGGTTGAAAGGCTACCGCGTCCGGCAATGAAGCAATGCACGATCTTTGGATGGCCATAGCTGGCAGCAAAATGCAAAGGCATCCACCAGTCCTGGACAGGATCATGCCATTAAACACCTTTGTTGTGTCGGTTGTTTGTTTTGGTGAGGGCTACTACTTTTGGGGGAGTTCACCAAATATTTGTTCCAATCAGGTGCTTTCAAAAGCACGTGTTCTGGTCCTTGTCGGGTCTCATGTCAGCACCAGCTCCCAGCAAGTCCCGCACAATCGCCGCATTGCCATTCTTGGCGGCGATGTGCAAAGGCGTGACCCGGTCTGCTTGAACCTCGTCTGCGTCAACGCCTGCCTCCTTGGTCCCACGGATCATGGAAGGGATCCCCCACCGAATGGGAGTCCTAAACCATCCTGAGCCGTAAGAGGGAACCAAGGTGTTTTTCATCCAGGGGGTTACTCTAGGGCTAGTTAAAGATGCACCACCTGCGGTTTTCCATTAAAATATACAGTTGGGGCATTGGCTGGAGATTGTGCAAAAACACGTGGTTCTCCGAAAACGGTTCAATGGGCTTCAGTTGGCCACTGATGAAAGGAAGCCAAAGGGAACCGTTAGCGGAAAAACAACAACTGATTGCTGACGATACGGGAAGCGAAAGAAACCTAAAAAGTGGATGTCAAATATTGGGCGCCCCCCGCAACTGGAAGATGGGTGGCTCGAAAGCATTAGCAGCGGCGGCAAGCTCTGCTAGCAAGTTCTCTGCGCAAACTCCTCTGAGCAAGTTGTTGGCGCGAGTTCCTTTGAGCAAGTTCTCCAAGCAAGGTCCTCGCACAAGTTCTCCGAGCAAGTTCTCTCAGCCGAGCAAGTTCTCTGAGGAAGTTCTCTGCACGCACTGCTGACCACACCACAGCAACCATTCGACGCGAATACAATTGTCGATCCGGACCTGCGAACGTGTTCGCTTCATATTCTCGTCGTTAAAAGTTGCGATGTGGCAGCCGAATCCTTCTGAAAGTGTACTTCTCTCGCTACCTCCGTAGCTATAGACTCAGCCGAAGCCTTCTGAAAGCATACTTTGCGCACTACTTTCGTAGTTCAACTTGCGATTTTCGGGCCGGAGCTGCGGAAGTTTTCTTCGCGTGCTAGATTCGTACCGGAAGTGTATTCGGGTTTTACTTTCGTACTTAAAAGTTGCGACTCCGCGGAGGGTCGCAGCCCTCAGTTGTTTGACATCGAGCACGATCTCCGCAGAGGGTCGCAGCGCGCGCTGCGAGAATCCTGCAAGGCCATCAATTTTCTGACATCAAGCACGATGTCCGCACAGATTCACAGCGCGCGCGGCGAGAATCGTAAAAAGACCTCAGTTTTCTGACATCAAGCACGATCTCCGCAGAGGGTTGCAGCGCGCTGCGAGAATCGCAAAAACCCCTCAGTTCGAGCACGATCTCCGCAAAGGGTCGATCGACTTTTCAATCACAAAGTTGGCGCAGGCCTGCTGCCTTCAAAGAGGAACGTAGGCTTGTCGAGCTTCACGTTTCTTCTTTCACGCGCGAGTTCATAAGAACATTAGCAAAGATACTTATCTAGAGTACACTGAAACCTCTCGTGAAAATATATTGCGTATCTTGCTGTTGTAGCTTGCTAAAGCAACCTCATGTGTAACATGCCAATGCAACTTCCTGGTGTAACTTGCTAGCGCAACTCACTACTGCAAGTTGCTAGCGCCACTTGCTGGTGCGTCTTGCTTCTACTGGCTATGCATCTTGCCAGAGCTCTTTTACCAGTGCACTGGCTGGTGCTCCTTGCTAGCGCTATCTTGCTAGCGCTAGAGATAAGTGCAGCTGCAACTGCCGAGCGCATCTTGCTATTGCAACTCTCTGCCGCTACTTGCTAATGCAACTTGCTACTACAACTCGCTAGTGCTATTTTCTAACGCAACTTGCTATCATGTAACTTGCTTGCGCTACTTGCTGGTGTGTGCTCCAGGTCCCTTCGCAACGCTTTTGGGAAAAACAAGCTCCTTTTAGTTTCCTTTTACAAGCGCACCAAGCCTTTGGAAAGACACATGCCTTTAACAGGGCAAAGGTTGGCAAAACGGCTCTCGCTTGGCCTGGCCGTGGCTCCAGCAAGCAACGCACCACTTCTTCATTGCCACTCTCCGCCGCAATTTGCAAGAGCCTCCAGGGTTGCTAAGTGGGGAAGGGAAAATGCATTCAAAAACGAGCGCCCCGACACATCCAACACAAGCTGATTTGCAAGGAATCGGATCCTCTACATCAGCTGTGTTTCTTGAACTGAATGAAATGTAGCCCTTAAGGCAGGCAACATTTGTCTGCATATTCCCACTCGTTGTTCGGAGCGCTCCTGGCTTCAGGTTCGCCTAGCTGGTGCTTTCTCGGGGGTGTCCTGATTGCCCGCAAGAACCAAGCAAAGCCCCAAACCACCAACCCAAGCCACCAACTAAGGGTTGCCGGACTGTCTGCTATTGTGAGTAATTTAGCACTCCTTCCCCTTAGCACTCCGACTGGAAACTTTGACAAGAACCTTATGTGCCAAACCAGCATTTGACAACCGCCCCGTGCGACAACTCGACAGAAGAAGACAATTGGACCTCCCACGACAACCTTGGCGTTGCTTCCTTCAATCGAAGTGACACTAAACGGAAGAGCCAGGGAGGCAACTCTAGACTCCACACCAGTATCCACCAATCAGGGAATCACGATCCAAAAATACACCAAAAGAGCGCTTCAGCACAGTGACTTGCTTTTCCACTAACGCACACTGATGGATGCGAGAGGCAAAGACCAAAGGCGAAAGCCACTGCATGCTACGAAATAGTTTCAATAAACTCGAACAACAAAAAGGATGGCAGGCAGGAGTTCTCGTCTCACGGTCGCTACATGCTCTTTCCCCACGCGGCGCTAGCCTTTGACGTTGCAGGTCTTGCAGTCCTTGTCGCAAGTCGCGAGCCCCAAGACAAGTTCCACAGTTGCCCGTTGTCCTGCTAACTGGGCGAGATTGTTGCGCTGGCGCCGAGCTTTGATTAACCTGCGCCACCCAAGGCCACTTGTGCCACGGCGCGTCATGTTGCACAGGCTTCAGGGTGTTCCTCGAACTGCGCAGCTCGCGCTGCTACTACATAGCCCTCAACACGGCCGGGAGCCACAGCTTGAGGGTAAAAAGCGGCATTGCAAAACACTGTTTGGCGTGAGCAAGCCTGACACCTCATTATGAAAAATGTGCCATGTCATTTTAACTATGCACATTTGCACACTTGGCCAAAACGCAGTACATTTGGCACGTTTGCGTTCAGCGACCTTTGGCCCCTTTTCGCTTTTTCGTTCGCCTTTATTTCTGTTGGTAGACCTTTGCTGGTTTGCCTCTGCATGTTTCAACCGTGGGTTCTGATTGACTTCCTTCCCCAATCTGAATAGATCGAACAAGAAGGGCCTGCGCAACGAACAAACAGTTTTGCGGAAACTTGGGCTGGACCCAAGATCCAAGGTTGCAAAGAAAAGGTTTGGAAGAAGCCACACATGTTGCGCAACATGTTGGCGCCATCGCCCAGTCCCGCCGCGCCTCGATGACCTTTTCCGACTCATCTCATGCATTCATCTTGCACTTTCCCTATGCATACCTCTATGCATTTCACTGTCTACTTTCCCTATGCATTTGAGCTGTGCAGAGCGCAACGACTTTACCGGAAGAACCCTTCTCAATGCTTTCGGGAAAAATATACCACCATCATGGCTGGAAGATGTTCTTTCGTTTGATGTTTTAGACTCTTCAAAGTGTGGGGAATGTTGCGCAACATTCCCAATAAACAAAAAGCGGAGCTCGGAATGCTACTTCTTCTGGTGTTTCATTTTTTGTGTGTGCTAGTTTTGTTGGCTTTGGCGAGTGAGCCAAGACGCAGCGTTTATGTGAAACCCACACGTGGCCTAACCAAGTAAGCAGTCCCCCCCCATCGCGAAGAGCATTTGCCGGTGTTGTTGGCGCTTTGCGGTGTAAAGCGTGTTTGTTTTTGTTTTTTCCTTCTTTTCTTTTTTTTTTGGGGGGGGGGGGGGTGCTTGTATAGATATACATATATATATATATATATATATACATGCACACAGATACACGTTTGACACTTGGCGGTTTCCACATCGCCTCGGGCAGTCAGCTACGGCCTTGCGTACGTCCGCGCCAGCCTCTAGCAGGCGACGCAGCACCTCACAGCACACCAAGGGCCATGCTGAACGCAATCCAGCGGGGCCAACAAAAACTTGTTTGTGGTAGTGGGAAGGGCTTCTTGGAAGGCGAAGGAGGAAAAAAACTGTTTTTTTTTTTTTTTTTAAAGGAACAAATCTGCAATTCTGGAATTTAGGGGGCAATGATTGGCTGCTGCAAAGTGGGAAGATTATGGCCCGGACAATTGCCCCTAACCATGAAAGACACAATTTGCCACCCACGCACGCCTTACCAAATCCCCAAACCACCTGTCCAAACCGCCAATTAGGTTGCCTGACGCAATGTCAACTGACCAAGCTTCTTAGACCCTCTGCAACAGAATAGACTTACACCTGCAAAAAGCGACAACTGTTTGCTGCTGAAAAAGGAAAATGACGGAACGCCAAAAGGTCAAAAAGTGCTTCAAGGCAAGCTAAGCCAACGCACCCAAACCTCTTCCCCTGTCAGGGAACAAGTGTGGCGCCAGAGGTTTGGGGGTTGTGGAAACCCTCTTTGTGTTGCCACAGGGTTCCCCCCAAGGCTCACACACAGTGCCCCCAACCCACCAATTCTCCACAGGCCAATGCCCTTTACCAAGCATAACCCTTTCCCAAGACTCTAACGTCCGACTACATGAACCACACCCTAAAGGAACCTCAGGCCTGCAGATTCATGTCCTGACTTGTCCGTTGGCTCAAGCGACGCTGGAGGCCCGACAAACGACGGACCAAGTCTTGGGATCTGGGAAGGCGGGGAGGAGCCATGATCGGAGCAAAAACCAGAGCTCTGCCACACGACCCGTGGCACACACCGCGGTTGCACGAGCGCACCATAGCAACGAAGTAGCCCCCAAGAAGACTTGCGCCTGCTGCATCTCAAGCAGATCGAGTCCAAGCAACTTGTCCACAGCGAGACGTTCTGAAGTGGGATCTGTCAAGGGGCCTGCGGGCCTGCTGCCGGGTTTGGCATTCGTCGCTGGGCTGGCCTGCACCCAATCGTGGTGAGCTGCATTGACGGGCACCGGAGCTGTGGCAACGTGAAAAGCCAGGGAGCCACGGGTTGTCTGCGGGTCGTTCCTGCCCACCTTGTTCACAGCTGGAAAGCCAGCAGCAGGGTACGGATTGCAGGGCAGCCAGCCTGATTGGCGCACCCCGTGTCACGTACTATGAGCGCGTACTGCCGCCACGCCGGGAAGCTTCTGGCGTCTCCCAACGCATGAAGATCCAATACCAGGATTTGTCCGGCAACTCTTCAGCAGATGAAGACCTGCATCTCCACCCCGACTTGCGACCGCCACCACGCATGTGCTTCGCTTATGTCATCAAAACCCGTGTCCATGGTCCCCCGAGCGACCCCCTGGCAGGTTGCTCGGGACACTGTACAACTGGGATTCTCTGAACTCCGGACCATGAATGGAAAACACGACAACCAAGAAACCTGAGGACGCAGGGTACTTCAAAAGAATCCTGCATGACCCCATGTATGAACCCCTGGTATGAACCCCTGGTATGAACCCTAGTCACTAGATGTTTCACTGCTTTGTATTTCATTACCCAAATGGCCATGGGAAAGAGTAGTAGCCCTTTATTACTGCGTTACAAGCACATTCCTTCACCCTTAAGTGACATTCTCGAATCTAGGAAATGGTGGTTTCATGCGAAAATCACCCCCAAAAGCAATTGTGAGAGCCCGGAAAGTTGCGACTAAACCTTGCAAGCATGCTCAGTCCTCAAACTATTTTGAGTGGTTTCCTGCGGCAAGGATCAAAGCCACTGACCTTCCGAAACAAATCGATTTGCCCAGAGCGATTTCCCGGCTCGCCTGTGGATGCCCGCCCTTCACCGACAGATGCAACGGTGTCCACCAGTCATTGTCCACCTGAGAAAGGTCCCCTCGGTCCCCTCCAACCGACAAAACGGCAGAGTCGGCTCAGCTTCCGTCTCGAGTTCCGGAACGCCTCAAGGGAAAACGGAACTCGAAATATGCAAGCTTCCCCCAAAAACCAGTTTTAAGGGGGCCGGGATGCACCATTGGGGCACTTTCTTTTTCCAAGAAGCTGTGTCCAAACCCAGTGCCTGCGGGGTTCCGGCGGATAGTTGGGCAAGGGACAAATCAGTTGCGAAGGTGCAAGGTCCGTTTTCCCCGGGAAACATCACCCTTCAAGGAAACTCGCTTCAACTCAGGCAGAACTAAATGTCGCCTGAGTTATATAATATACATATTGGGAGCCTGTGGGGTCTCAGAAAAAGACCTCCAGTTGAGAAAAAGTGAACAAAATATTGAGTCGAACTCAAGAAAAAACAAAAAAACTCACCCCACCGCTGGTTGGCTTGCTTTTGATGCCCCTGTATTTAAAAAACCAACCACAAAGGGGACCTACCAACCGCAAAGGGGACCTCGCCTCAGGAGAGAAAAAAAAGAGAGGCGAGCCTGCAGGGTCCGTCTTGGGGCCAACTCCATGTGGCTGTGTCCCCCCAAAAAAAAACGGGGCCCAAAACGGCTTGCCCCGGTAAGCGGAATCGGGCCAAGACCTGCGGTTTGCCCCTCCTGTTTAATTTTGAGCCACACCCATATTGCAAGTTTGAATTGGCCGGAAACCCGACCCAAAAAAAAATGGTTTGTAGGGCCCTGGTTTGCCTTGTAAGCAATCTGCACTTTGCCCTACCTTGGGTTCGGTTTTCGTTTGCATGGGAGTGAAACACCCCAAGTGTCGACCCGTGGAGTTTGATCAAGCCAGGCTCAGAGCCTTTTCCCTGGGAAATCTGCACAGGTGACATTTGTTTCTCCCAAAGGAAACTCGCATGGCCACCGAAACGGTGATGTGTCAAACCCAAAACGAGAAGCTCAGGACTCTGGGACTCGCATGTGTCAAAATTGTGGATGGACGAAATCCATTTCGCACCATCGATTCCCATGTAAATACCAACAAACAATGGCTTCCCATGGTTTCCAAGTGGTGCAGGATTTCGTCCATCCACAGTAGGTCCCAGAACGGTGGTGTTCTTTCTGGCTCCCCTTGAAGTGAACCTGAAAAGGTTACTCAGCCGACGGCAGGAAACAGACAGACACACACACACACACAAACCCTCCTGCCAGGTTCCTCCTTGTTGGCTACCCCAGCTCGAACTAAACTAAGGGCTGGCAATCTGGCGTGTCTTGAAACATGGGAACCAGGACATGGGCTCGCTCCATGTGGCTTCCCTTTTATCTCCAAGAGGAGTGCCCTCAGAAGAAGGCCCACCCACATATGGCTAAGACCCGAAATGGTGGACATCACTTAGCCGGGGATTTAGGTCCACCAACCATGCTTCAGGAGCTTCCCTGAGAAACAAAAATAGGAGAAAAAAAAAAACAGCGCCATACTGCGGACGGACAAAATCCACTTCGCACCGGTGGGTAGGCGAACATCCCAATCCAACCACTAAAATAGGCTCTAAAATGGGTGGTGCACCTAGCCCAAAATGGGATCCCATTGGTTTTGGACCATGGCCGTATTAGTTTCATCCACAGTGCAGGATGTTCTCCACAAAATCAGACCCATACCCAACCATCACTTCAACTGGGTGTCTTGAAACATGGGACACAGAAGATTGGTTAGCTCCCAGTTGGTTTCCCTTTAAAGCTCCTCCAGAATCTTTCGGCTCAAAGCAGGACCGACCGTCCGATGGACCCGCTTGAGAAATCTCAACGGAGCCGAGCCGCGAGGTTCTTGTCGGCACCAGCTTCCAGCAAGATCTGCGCCGCTTCCGCCATGCCTAACTCCAAAACCCGCATCACGTGACCTGGAGGTCCTGTTGGCTTCACTAAAAGACCAACCTCAAAAAAACACCTACAAACAGAGCACATACCCAGCGTTTGTTTCTCCAAAGCCCGGGGACTTACTGTGAGCACCGAAGCTCCCCTGCAGAAGATGGCACCCGAAACACTTTTGGGAACTTGTGGGGGGGATTCCCCAGTTTGTTTGCTCCTTCTTATTGGAGATTAACTATCTAACGGGGGGATGTGAGCCAGAGTCAAAGCTACTTCCTCCAAAAGGGTGCGGGGAATTGTGTTGCTGTCGTCCAAATTAAAGCAAACAAATATTCAACCGCTAACATGGCAATAGGAATCGGTTCTTGGCTCATGTGATTTGGAGCCACGCAGCCATGGATGGCGGCGAGGTGTAGAGGCGTGCGCCGGGAAATGGTGACCTTGCCCGTGTCGGCTCGGGCATCCTGATGTGGCAAGAAATGTCCGTTACGGCTTGGTTTGTTGAGTTGGATATTGGGGGAGGTGTCCCAATTTACCCTCTGCAGGAACCAGCGGTTCAAACTCCAAAGTATTGATAGTATTAATTAAACAAACAAACAAGCAAGCAAACAAACAAACAAACAAACAAACAAACAAGCAAGCAACATATTTTGAGTAAGAACAACAAACATATTCTCAGCACGACCAAGTGGGGAAAATAACACTTCATATGTTTAAGTTAGAGACAAAAGGAGCCAAGCGCAGCTTGGCTTCCAGCAGACTCAGCGCCACCTCCGCGTTGCCGCGGCTGGCTGCGAAATGCAAGGGAGTCCACCGGTCCTTCCCAGCCTCAGGGGCGCAGGGGTGCGATCCTGGCCCTGCAGACATGGTTGCCGCTTGGCTTGGTTGCTGTGCACCCTGCAAAAAGTTGACCACTTTCTGGGGGTTTAGTGCAAAACACCTCTATTTCAACCAAAAAGTTAAAGTCTAAATCTCCAACCCAACAGCAGTCAAGTTGGGATCTGGTTTCGTGGCCCGAAATTCACCGCGGAGTCATGGCCAACCTCTCAAAAAGGCAGCAAACCGGCGGAATTCCTGCAACACAACAACTTGTCGGTGGTGGGTTGTTGGCAATTTCCTGTAGAATTTCATGGTTTCTACGACAACCACTTTTGAGGTTCCGACTCTTAAATATCATGGCAGCAAAAAGCTGGGCAAACCGAAGGACAGGGCTCCCTTTTCCCCCCAACACTTCTCTGCAAGGAAACTTGCTTCAACTGGTCCACATGAAACCTTCAAGGATAAGTTGGTCAATGGTCAATTTTCGACCCTCAATCTGGGATTTGCGACCATCATTGTAGTAAAAGGGCAGAGAGTTTTAACTGGGCCCGTTTTCAGATCCCCTGCTAAATGTGACTAACTTTAGTGAGTGAAATGAAAACTACCGCGAAAAACAAAACAAAAGGAAACAAAACACTAAGAAGACCCAACTGCTCAGTGGATGGCTGGGAGCCACCAAGATAGGTGGTTTGATCACAGTCACGTGCCTGGTTCGCATCAGCGCCAGCTGCCAGTAAGCAACGCACAACCTCGCAAAAACTGTCCCAGGTGAACATCACCCCACGGCTCCAAGGGTGAAGGTTCACCGAAAGGATGGAATATATATATATATATATATATGTATATATATATATATATATATATATATATATTTGTGCATGTATGTATATTTAAAAAAAATGTACATATATATATATATATATATATATATATATATATGTATTTATATCACATGGGGGACTTACCGGTTCCTCGATGGGTTGCACCCCTAGTCCTTAACGGGGAATTGACAATGTGCTACCAGGATGCTCCACACCAGTCACACAGGTGGTCCCCTCAACAAATACAATCCGGCCATTCAAAACACAAAAGTAGGCCACCATTTAGGGTGGCAATTCTCAACTGGATAAGATCAAAACTTCCTGTTTCGATATGTTTAAACCACGATTGCTTGAACACCCTGCTGTTGGATTCTGTTTAATCAGGCCCAACTCCACACCAACATAATACGATAGTCAGCCCACCCAAAATATACATATAAAGCAACTTTGGCTTCAAACCCCGGATCCCTACTGTGCTAAGACAGATTCCGTCCCAAGGGAAACTTAGATGTATATCATTCATATGCGTGTCTCTCAAAACTAGAGGACCCCTCGAAAGGGTGGTTTCCTTTCTGGTGTCCCTTGCCGCTCCCCTCTTGGGGTACCCTTAAAAAAGTGAAGAAGAAGCAAGTCTTCTTCCTTATTGCCCTTCGGTAAACAAGCCACGTCTTATCTTTATTGCATAGTAGGTACATACTTTTCATTAAAGCCCTGCCTAGCTTCACGACTGAGGCGCGTCCGTATGGCAATTCTTCGCGCCGAAGAGTAGCGCCGTGCACTTGTCGTCCTGTGCAGCCGAGGCAACGTCATCTGAGTTGAAGCCATGGCAACCCAAAAGCAGAAGCCCTGGTTGACCATTTTAGTGGCAAGCACTAAGTTTAGACTTGATTTGGCCATTTTTGTTCCAGCCATTGCAACCCAACAGCAACTAGGGACCAGCGACCATTGCATTTGGAGCGTTCATGACCATTCAGGGTCCGTTGCGGTTTGGCTCTGAATCAGTATTGGACAAAGAATCAAAAGCCACTGGAAACGGAAACTGAGGGGAAGTGTCCTGTGCTTTGGGTTTGTAAACCTTAGAAGAAAATCCCAACCCCGCCTCTTGGAACATCCCCTTGTCATTCAAAGGGAGTGATTCCGGGCAGAACTGCAGGTATCAACCAGAGGAGCAAGGGTATATGGACGTAGTTGTTCCCCAGATACCAAATGGGAATTCGAATCCATCCCCACAACCTTTTCGCTTTCAGGTGCATTCCCTTGATATCATACTGTGGATGGTTGCGAAATCCATTTCGCACCACCTAAGAAACCCTGGAATGAATCGATTCCCCTGTAAATACCACCAAACAAGGGTTTCAACCATGGTTTCCAAGTGGTGCAGGATTGCGTCCATCCACAGTCGCTCCGAAAAGCTGTAACATGTTCGAGCATAGTCCTCAGCCTCGTCGTCGTCGGTGACAGCTTCCAGCAAGCCGCGAAACGACGGTTCAGCTCGCATCCTCGAGCCTAAGTTCATCATGTCCTGGTGATGAGTAAAACAATGTTCTGACCAACACCATCTTTATAGGCAGGAAGAGGTTTCTAGGAGTTTCAACCTAGCGGTCAAGGTGGTCAAACTGAGCCCCCAAGGTGATTGGCCTCAAGAAAAACCAACAAGAAGCCGCTTGAAAAAAACTGGTGGCAACTGGTTTTCCTTTCTTCACTTGTAATTTTCTGGGTCGGTCAAACAAAGGCCAAAAAACATGGGTCACCTTCTTCTGGTGGGTGGGCTATTTGTCATTTGTCCAAAGCGTTACTCCTCCGCAAAGTCACGAAAGGAACTGGCTCCTCTAAATTATGGTGTTCTTCATGCTAACTTCCAGACTGGCACTGCATATGTCTACCCAAATCCATGTAGAGAACTAAAAGGGCCGCAACTATTTATGGGGTTGTCCCTTACTATCCTACACTTATCCAAGTTTTGATTGCCAAGGAGCTGTCATTTACAGCCCTGTGCATATCAGCTTCAGCTTGCAGCAAGCTGCGCACAATCTCCACCCTGCCCTTTTGGGCTGCGATATGCAGAGGCGTACGCCAAGCCTCGTCCGCCTTGTCGGCATTCGCACCAGCTTCAAGCAAGATATGCACAAGTCCTCAAAGGTTTTCCAGAAGTGCAACCTTTCACATCACCCAAAGGGTAAGTCGTCTTCTGAAAGGGGCCGAACTCAAGCAACATCTCAGATGCCCAGTGGCCATGGGAAAGAAAGAAAAACAAAACGGCACCCTTTTCTGTTGCTTGAGCTGAAAAGGGGAACCCTTACCCGAAAAAAGGGGAAAAGGGCACCACTGGGCAACAGAGACATTGGGCGGCCTTCAAGCCGTCTTGGGACATTGACCTGAGGCGAGTGTGCCAATTCAACAGGTGACCTCCATTTGCGTAGCTCCCCCTGGAAGAACAAAAAAGGGAAAATAGACAAATGGTATGAACGAAAGGAAAATAATAAAACGACTACGGCTCTCTCCTGCATGGCCATTGATGGTGGCGATGTGCAAAGGGGTGCACCAATCGTCTTTCCTCGCTTTCGAGGAAAAAAAGGACCGCTCGTAGAAGTTTCACCTTCTGGGAGCATGACGAAGCATTGACCAGACCGGGAACAACAAAAGCCTCACGGTCACAAACAAAACCCGGTACAAAAATGGTCAACCCAGAACCATGTAAATAAATGGGGAAAAAAAAAAGAAAAACAACTAAGAAGGCGGATATCGGCAGCTATTTATGGCTGGGATCGTCCCTTACTAACCTTCGCTTACCCGAATCGGTTTTGAGCACGTGGCTCACTTCCGGTGAAATGCTCCTAACCCAAATATCTTCAGGGTGCTTACTAATTCCACACATTGTCCTAACACAATCTTGTTGAATAGCGGGCACAACCCACGGACCCCGATTGATGAACGGCTCGTATATCAAAGCCCAAAACCTGGAAGTGAGAAGGTCAAACCGTGGCGAACAGTCTGTTGCCAGCGTTTGGGGACCGGTCCCCTTCTCACCTCATTTGGCCTGACATCTGAAGTAGCTTTTCTGGCTGTGGAAACCTCCCGTTCTTGCTGTTCTTTGGAAAGAAAAATCACCAACTCCTGCTCATGTGGCTGTGGGGCAAAACCAATGGTACAATTTTGGGGGGCAGGTGCCCATTTTAGAACCTATTTTAGTGGGGATTGGGCTGTTCACTCAATCAGCTTTGGAGACCACAAGGGTCGACCTGCTGCTTTTTTCCATGCACTTTACCCCAAAAACCAGCAACAGTGACTGCAAAAAGCAGCAACTTGGCTATCTAGGGATTCGCTGAGCTTCGCCTGGTCTGCATCGGCCTTGGCCTCCAGCAAGTCCCGCGCCACCTGCGCGCTGCCGCACCGCGCCGCGAAGTGCAGCGGCGTCCACCAGTCGCCTCAAGGCGAGGCGCGGATCCGGCCACGGGTCAAAATCCCGGGCTATCCCCTTTAGTGAAGATCCCAATCCCCACGAAAATAGGGTCTAACATGGGTGGTGAATTCACCGAAAACCCCAAAATGGGATCCCATTCGTTTTGACCCACAGCCATCCCAATTTGGGGATCCGGAAAACTTTTTGAGGGGTAGCTAACCATCATCCGCCCTTGCCACAAAGAAAGGGGGTTCCTAAGCAACAAACAAAGGGGTGCCCTCAAAACAAGGACACTCTAGGGGTAACTTCCAATTCCATTCCAAACCCAGGGATCCGAATCTTTCTGGAAAACCTCCGGAAAAATGAGGGAGGAATCCACCTGGAAAAATGGCGGTTCTCCTTTGCTTCAGGCCTTCGCAAAAAGCGATCCATGCTTTGGCTTGGTAAGAACACAAAACAAGTTGGGTAGAGGTTTAAGATCGACAATTACGTGAATGCGCAACGTGAATACTTTTAACATCATGTTCCCCGTGGTGGAAGTGAAAGATCCAAAAAAGCAGAGGCTCTGGTTGCCCGGTTCGCGTCAGCACGGGCTTCCAGCAAGCATCGCACAACTCCTTCGTGCCGATGTCTGGATGCGAGAAACAACGGCGTGACCCCGTTTTCCCCGGTCTTGTCCTTGTCAGCGCCGGCTTCCAGCAAACAACGCACTAGTCGCCTGAGTCCATTAGAGTGACATGCTGAAGAACTCTCCAAATGCAAAAGCACAAACACCGACTCTACCTTGGGTATACTTGAGTGACGTCAAAACAACGCTCGCGCCTTCCCTGAAAACCGCCTTAAGTGAATGTTGATAACCCCGGAGAGTGATTAGTTGATTGCAAGACTTGAGACCGGACTGACCTCCAAAGGACGGGCGGACGGCTCGGAATCAGACAGGCGGCTGGTTGCCGCAGGTGGCGGCAAAGTGCAAAGGCGTGCACAGGTCTCTGCACGCGAGGTCCACGTCAGCGCGAGCTTCCAGCAAGCAACGCGCGGATTCGGTATGGCCATGCCGAGCAGCCAGAAGCAAGGGACTGCACCCGCTTTCATCGAGTTTGTCCTTCAGGGTACCCTGCACCTGGGCAAGGCCTTGCCAAACCCCAAGCAAAACCATCATGTTGGGGAGTCTCATGCTTTTTCACAAAACCCCAACCCGTATCCCGGAGTTGTTGGCTTTGTCACTTTGTTTTTGCGTCGCCTTTCATGAATGCGAAGTCCACAAGCAACCCTTTTCCCGTTTTTAGTTCGAAAGTTATCTCTTTTGGACGGATGTCCCCAATCATTCCATGTAGAGGACCTTTTCATCACCCCACCCACCCCGAATATCCTTCCGTGGGTGGCTTTAAACGTCGCCTTTTTGGAAAGAACAGTTTCAGGTTCCTCTTTGGCGGGGTGCTGCGAATCGATGAGGTGAATTTGCCTTGGGGAAGCCAAAGACAAAGTTGGGCCAGAAATAAGGCCCGATGTGGGCGTGGTTTGTCATCACCCTAGATCTAAATTCCCAAGTTGATGACCAGGACTCTAGGGGTCGGTCAAGTAAGCTGTGGTGGTTTGGATTGGTGGGGACTTGAACCCCTGGTTCGTTCTTGTAGAGTGTAACTGGGAAGGAACACCACCAAACCGCCATGGCATCCTTGAACCCGAAAGGGCAAAGGGATAAAACATGAATATGTCACATGACCGTTTGTGAGGACACAGCCAAATGTCTTTCCACGCCCCAAATGCCTCCTTTCCATCCTCCTTAAATAAAGCTTATGTAAGCCTTATAGGCCCACGCAAACTTTCCACAAGCACCCTGTCCTTGCTAGCACCTTTCTCCTGCAAGCTGTCCACGACTTCTTCATGACCATTTCTGGCGGCCACGTGGAGCGGGGTACGCAAGCGGTGGTTCCTTGGTCGCAGTGTCAGATCTGCAACAGCATCCACTGGCCCTTGGCTTGGTTGCTGTTGACCCTGCAAAAAGTTGACAACTCTTGGGAGTTTAGTGGAAAACACCTTTATTTCAACCAAAAAGTTAAAGTCCAAAGATCCAACCCAATAGCAGTCAAGCCCTGAAAAAGGGCTATGCTTGCTGGGGAAAAAAAAAGCAGCTGGAATCAACCTGCGATCATGTGACACATTGGTGTAGGGGGTCCCATAATGGTTGAAAGCTAAATTGACCAGCGGAACAAAAACACAATTCATAGAAACCGACGAAAGCAGGACATAATTGGCAAATTAGCCAGAAACAAGGCCTTCTAAACTTCCTTGAATAAGGGCCACCAAAGAGCCGCTGTTGAAGTGTTCTTTGCTTCTGAACATTTTGGATGCACTAACTGCGGTTTCAACTAATTTTTGCACTCTTGTGGTACTCTTTTAGCACGTTTCAGGCAATCCGCAGGCCATTAAACAAAAAGCCTAGATTTGTTGGGTTTTACCTCATTTCCTAGTGCATAATGTTGACCCCATAACAAAACCCAGGGGCACCCCCTATTGATAAACAGGGAATACTAAGGGAATATTAAGGGTGAATACTAGGGGAGTACTCAGGGAATACTAGGAGAATACTAGGGGAATACTGAGGCAATACTAGGGTAGGCCAATACTGGGGAAATACTTGGGGAATATTAAGGGAGCACTAGGGCAATACTAGGAGAATAGCAGGGGAATACTATGGGAATTCTAGAAGAATACGAGGAGAACACTCAGGGATGAATATAGGGTCAGCATTAGTCTCAAACTGGGGAAGTAAGAGCAAACAATCTCAAGCTGGACCAATCCCAACCACCCCTAATCTGATGGTTGATCTTTGAGCTAGCTTGTGTATATGGCTATGGCTCAAAGAACCTGTACCAAAATGGAACCCTGCTAAGTGGAAACATGGACCAAAACCTGCGTGCGTAACCCCTCCGGGTTAATTTTGAGCCACACCCATTTGACCTCTAGACTCTACAAGCCAAAAAAAGAGGCACCCCCCCATTTTAGTGACAAGGACCAACACGCCAAGCTTCGCCTTGTCCGGGTCAGCGCCTGCATCCAACAAGCAGCACACGATGCGGCGGTCGCCGGTGTGCGCCGCGACGTGCAGAGGCGAGGCTCTGACGTCGTCCAGGTTGGGGTCAAGGGGTGTCTCCAAGAGACCTGGGTGTGTCTCTCATTTAGCTGGGCTGCCCTCAGATCCCCCGCTAAAAATTCAACTTTTAGTGGGTTAAATGGAAACCACCACTAAACACCGAAAGGCCAAAAAGCTAAGGAACCGGATGGCTGGACCACCAAGCTAGGGCAACTCCCAAAATGGCTCTCCTTTTGGTTCCCCAAAGGGTACCCTCCAAAAAATCCACAGACCCACCTGAGTCACGCGAACCCGGTTTTTTACTCTAGGAACCCAACCACTCACCCATTTGTAGGAACGGAAACTAAATGGGAACCGGAACCCTTTTTTTGGGATCCATGCTTGGTCGGAAGCAAGTCGTCTGCTCAAAACCGGCTCAAAATCGAAGGCGGAGATCTGCGTTGGGACTGCCCCCAAGAAGCAAGGCCATCCGGCTTTCAACAAAGACCTATGGTTCCAGGATTTCCGTGAGTGGTTTCCACTAAAATGGAAGCCTTGCTCAGAAGTTGATTGGTACATTCAAAGTATCACACAAAATCTCCGCACTATGAAGGAACCCAGCCTTGCAGATTATTGGAAAAGCCGGTGGGGCGGAAAGAAATACAAGGAGGTATCCATTCGGAGCAGGACACCAAAACTTTTAGAAGGCTACGACGCCAACAAGTGGGATAAGGTTTGTGATTTGCTGGACTCGCAGCTTCGACCAATGTGCAAGAAGCTGGGGGCAGCTAACTATCGAAACGTGGTGAAATTCAACAAGTCTTCAGTTCCCCAGCTTCTCCCAGAGACCTGTGGATGGACAAACTTTTTTCAGAGACCTTGGCGAAACAGAAAGGGGGCTGTTCAAACAAAAGAAGGTTCGCGCAAGTGGGGAGAACTGCGGCTACCATCGGGATGCGTCTCCAACAAACCCCGCAGAAAGAAATATGCAGCGGGGAAACCTTCCTTTTTGCGATACCAATATGGGCACAACTATCAAACTACAATTTTTCCCCAAAAGCTACAGGGGAAATTGGGCACCCTTACTCCTGGGTGTTGCGTGAATTTGTGCCCCCTGTCCCCCGCCCCTATGTTTGGAAAGAGCCATGGTTCACCAGAATGAGGAATTTAAGTCATGGAGTGGCAAGGGAAGAAACAGTGGCAACAACAGCACCAACCCCGCAACCAGAAGAGCGAGCAAGGAAGCAAACAAGCAAGCAAGAAGGCAAGCAAGCGAGCGAGCGAGCAAGCCACCGAGCAACCAACGAAGCACGCGCAAGAAAGCAAAGCAAAGCTAAGCAAAGCAACGCAACGCAACGCAAAGCAACGCAACGCAAAGCAACGCAAAGCAAGCAGGTCTTTGGTGCGGACGGAGCCAGTCTTGCCAGTTCTGACCAAATAATGTTCCCCAGCTAGTGCAAGTGCATTTCCCAGTTATCACGTGTTTGTGGCAAGAGCAGTTCATTGGGTCCCCAAGTCTTCACCTCTCAAAACCTTCCAACAGCCTGCCGACCAGCTCCCGCTTTGTTTCTTGTCTTGGCACAATGGGCGGGGGTCCCTTCGTTTCCTCTGAGCCAAAGGATTAGAAGACACCCTGCCCCTATTCTTTCCGAGAGACCCACGAGCAAACCAAAGTCTCTCCATTCAGCTGCGTGAGAGAGCGTCCTTGGACGGTCACGGACACCCGCCAAAAGTGGATCTAACTGCTTGCCTCGTATCAAATTGGTGTACCCAAAATCATGTAAAGAATCAAAAGGGTGGGCACCCAATTCTCGTTGGGACTGTGCTTTGCTAACCTTCACCTACCCGTGGGCTTTAATGATGAGTGGTTGGAAACCGTCGTCAAAAAGCAGATAGGCTGCTTCCCCTTTTCCTTTCCAACCAACGGTCGCTTTCCCCAAGTTTCCGGAAACTTTCCGGAAAGAATTCGCCCCAAAACCCATGAGTTGCAAGCGTCAATGGCTCGGTCGGGTCCATGTACGGCCGCACGACCACCGAAAACGGCCCATCGACATCCCAGCTAGCGTCCAAGATCTCGCCCTGTCCTGGGCGAGATCAGAATGTGGTTGTCAAAATGGGGTAACCCCAACATGGCAAGAGCCCTGGCAAATAGAACCAAGGATATTAACACCTAAGGTCGCCTGGGGGGTTAATTTTGACCCATACCCATCCCACATAGCTCGGTTTACCCCATCGGTGAGTTCGCTGGGACATGTAGACCCCTGACTAAACCCCCTTCAGGCTTAAAGGACCCAAACACCGGCTCATTTGAAGGCTCGCATGAAGCATGTGAGTAATTTTTGGATGAGGTTCAGGGCCCTGCTTGCTAACATAAGCCCCCCCCCCCCCCTGCATTTAATCGGCCCTGTTTAGCGGAATAGGGGACTGGGACCTAACTAAGGGGGTCAACACTGGCAACAATCTACAGAGGCTATGATCATGGCTACGGTTCACTTAGGCTGAGAAGTAAGGAAGCATCCACCCTTCCCTCTCCCTCTTTTTCGCAAAGTAAGGCCTCATCAAGGAGTTGGGGTTTGTTAAATTGGGTGAGTTTCCAATTGGCGGGGGGGATGAGAGGCCGGGCGTTTGCCTGTAGCTTGGCGTGTTGACTCCGCACCCGCAAAGACTCTGCTGGAGCCAGGGTTTCATTTTTGGACTTCAGTTGGACTCAAACCCAAAATTGGATGATTTCGCGAAAAGTGTTAACCCCTGGCTTTACATCTACCTTGGGGCAGTCCAAAATCGATTCCTGGTTGGAGCTGCGTATTTGGGGGGTATTGGGGGGAGGGGGCGAAAGAAAAGCGGTGCCCTTTGGTTGGGTTCATCCTCTTTGGGGTCACACACACACACACACCCAAGCAAGTTGGAAAACAACGCGAAGAAAAAAACAAGTGTCAGGTAAAAGGTCCGAGCAAACTGGGCTGCAAAAAGGTATTCGTAGAGGGCAGCCAAAATAGCGAAAAGATTTGAAGGGATGCGTCCGCAACTGGCAATGCAAATGGCATTCAGGAGCAAACGGCACTATATCCGACAAGCTTTGTCGGATTCATGAGCTCCTGACGGGGCCTTTAGGGTCTCACCAGCCATGAATCCGAGCTTCCACCGACCACTTTAAGCTGCCTGAAGTTGGACAAACTTCGCCGCTTGGCCACCTCCAATCTCAGCTCATCCGCGAAGCGCGCACCGCCTTTGCGCGCCTCCGCCTGGTCGTCCCACCATCTGGCGAACTCGTCGGGCGTCATTACCTCCTCACCCCCTGCCATACTGAAACCATGGCGGAAAAACACCGTTCTGGGCAACTTGTCACTCACAACTTGGAATAAGGAATATTCAAGCAATGCTTTTTAGACAGTCTCCTTTGAGTTCCCTTTACAGGGGTAGCACCAAACCGGTTTTTAACTAGCTGCTCTTGGTCTCCCTTTTCCTGCCTACGGCCATGATGACCGCCATCGAGAGAGGAGGCAGGCCGAAAGCTTTCCCACGAAAGCTAAGCCATCCACTTTGCCAGCCCAAGCTCGGAAAACTACCTCGAGCTAAGAGGAACGCGATACGGACAGTCCCAGGCACATCAGAAGATATGCTGCCTTGCTCCGAGGCTTGGTTGCCTAGGGAAACCCAAGGCACACCACTTGAAGGGGTCCCCTCAAAAAAAGGACAAGCCCGTGCGTCAACTTCGCATGGGGCGTTTGCCCCTTTGAATGTTTCTAACGCCTTGGCAGTGTCTCAACGTACTTTCCTCGAAGTGCGCGCTAAGCACCCTTTGATTTCTGCCAAAAAAGGCTGTGTCAAAAAGCGGGGGACCTCAATAGTCAAGCAGCCACCCAGGGTTGAGCCCGAACCAGGGCTAGTTGAAAAAAACACAACACTCCCCAAAACAACAGAAAACATCGGCAAAAAGCGGCCTGGCAGGTCATCTTCCTGCAGAAACCACATCGGCCAACATCTTTACCATGTCTAGGTCCTCCAATAAAGATTAGGTTAGAATAAGGCTACCCTTTTTCCTGTCGATTTTTGGGGACCCGAATCTCCCAGCCAAAGAAGAAACGGTGAGAAAGGGCCCGATCCTGGGCCTAGATGTCCCACAACTCGGCCGCGGTTTTCCGCTCACCGCTCCAAGAATCGACCCCGCTCCCCCGCCATGGCAGCCCTCCCACCCGGAGGCCCGGAGGCCTGCACCTGGCCGGTGAACCGCTGAGCGCAGAAGCTCTCCCGGCCTCGTCTTACAATCGGCGGATCCGGGCGCCGATTGCGGGGCGAAAGCTCGACCGCTTGGCATCCTGTGGATCCAAAGGCCCGAGGAAGTTTTTCGTATGACAAAGTTGGTGGGGGAAAACCACCCAAAATGATGCTACGTCCCCAAATGAGGAAAAGTGTCCCTTGGTCATCTGGAGCCCGCAGAGACTTTTGATCAAGCCCCATACGAAAGGTGATCAGGAGGCCTTTACTAAAGGTGGGCCAAAAGGAAAACCCGAAAGAGCAAACCAAAAGGCAAAACCAGGTTTTTGTTCCCAGCATGACTGAATCTGGCCTTAAACAATTGCTTGGGTGTTCCCTTTTAGTCAGGGTTCCCTGTATCCACTTGCTCAATGCGGTGGTCCACGGGAAACGGGCGTGCAACGTTGGGCGATCCACCTGCGTAAACAAGCTAAAGCCAATTGGCGATTTGCAGGCTGGGGGCGGTGTCATTCTTTGGGAAATGGGAAACCACGAGGAAAACCACCCTTGAACACTTTAGACTTTAGCTTTTGCAGAGGGTAAGAGATGAACCCAAACAGATTCATCCCAAATGCACCTATTCTGCAAGATCCTCGAAATTTTGTTGGAACATGTCAGAATTATGTTTACGGGATGCTTTCTCCGCCAACATGCAAATGATTTCCCCCAAGGGTCCCCAATTGGAAAGTCCTACCTACGTGCTGGGCCTGATCGAAGCTAGTGTTGTGCTGCCCTCTCATGTCTAAAACCACAAGCCATCGCTCATTGGCAAATCTACACCCAATGATTAAAACTGTCAAAGTTTGGCCTTTAGATCCCCTGCTAGCAGTTTAAAATTTCTACCGGGTTCAACGGGAAACCCCCACTAAACCCCAAGCCAAAAAGCTCCGGACTCGGATGGGTGGGAAGCCAAGGAAACCGCTCATTTCTTTGGCCATGACTCGCGCGAGTCATTTGCCCGTGGCCAACCTCCCCAAACGCTCTACCTGGGCCATTGGTCGAAGCCTGACACGTGCCATTCCACCAAAGGGATACTATACGAAAAGGACAGCTCAATCAATATGAACCTCCGGCCGATATCTATGTCAGTTCCGGATCCGCAAAAACCTAGCGCTCCCTTTTTGTCCCATGCCAGGGTATCAGACAGAACATGGGTACGGGTCAATGTTAAACCACTAGGAATTAGGATTGATCATCATTGGTTCCATTTACCAGGGTAAGCCATTTTGGGGCTACCCTATTTCTGCCAACCACAGCCACATAAATTAACCAGCTGGTGGTTGGAAGGGAGCTAAGAAGCTGAGAGTATCCAAATTTGCTACCAGCAGTGCTGCAAGGACCAAGAGGGAGCGCTGTTCACAAAAAGAAACCCTTGGTCCACTTTTCATCAGCATTCCCATTTTGCTCAAGAAGCGCAAACTGAAATTCCATCAAACTCAGTCTTGGGCGAAAAGCAACTCAATTGGGTGTGGCTCAAAATTAAAGAGCTCGGGTCTCCATGTCTTTGAGCCACAGCCAATTCAAGACCCACAACAAAGAACAACGAGCCCCCGCTCGCGACTCGCGACTCGCGACTCGCCAGTCAGGGCGCCCCGCTGACGGAGCTGCGAAACTTCACCTGGAGCTTGGAGCCGTGCCAATCGCAGCCGTCCAGCACCCGCACGGCCTGCGGGTCTTGGAAAGTGGGTTTCCTTGAAGCCCCAAAGTAGATACCCTGGAACAAGCCTCACCATCTTCTGTTTTGCAGGACTTCAATGAATCAATGAAACACTGAAACACTGATTGAATGAATCAATGAATCCATGAACCCATGAATCAATGAATCAATAAATCAATGAATCAATGAATGAACCAACAAACGAACGAACGAACGACTGACTGACTGACTGACTGACTGACTGGCCGACCGACTGACTG